CGGCATTTATTGTCCATTCCTAGTTGCTCTTGAGAAAGTAGTGGTGAGCTGCCTTCTTGAACCGCTGCAGTCATTGTTGGTTTATATATAGAATTATATAGAATCCCTACAGTATGGAAACAGGCCCTTCAGCCTAACAAGTCCACACTGACCCTCAGAGCATCCCACCCAGACCCATCTCCCTATACCCCAACTAACCTACACATCCCTGAACACAACGTGCAATTTAGCATGGCCAATGCACCTAGCCTGCACATCTTTGGACTGTGGGAGGAAACCGGAGCACCCGGAGGAAACTCACGCAGACACAGGGAGAATGTGCAAACTCCACATTGTCTTAAAGTGTCTGATAGAAATAGTTGCTATTTTATGGTAATTTTGTTTTCTTATTCATTCGCAGGACATGGATGTAACTGGGTAGACCAGAGAGAAGTCAACCACGTTGCTATGGATCTGGAGTCACATGTAGGCCAGACCAAATAAGGATGACAGTTTCCTTCCGTAAAGGAAGTTAGTGAACCAGATGGGTTTTTTCCCCAACAAATTGGCAACGGTTTCATGGTCACCATTAAACTGTTAATTCCAGATTCTTATTGAATTCAAATTGCGTGATCTGCCTGGTGGGATTTGAACTTGGGTCCATAGAACATTACCTGAGTCTCTGGAGTAACAGTCTAGTGATAATACCATCTACCTTGAGTGTTATGAGTTCTTGGGTGATCAGAATATATGGGTTAATTATGAATATGTGATCTATTGGGAGTGGACTGCTGCAGATAGGAACTGCAATCAGGTACAAAAACAAAGTTGCTGGAAAAGCTCAGCAGGTCTGGCAGCATCTGTGAAGAAAAGATCAGAGTTAACATTTCGGGTCTGGTGACCCTTCCTCAGAATCGGACCTGAAACGTTAACTCTGATCTTTTCTTCACAGATGCTGCCAGATTTGCTGAGCTTTTCCAGCAACTTTGTTTTTGTTCCTGATTTACAGCATCCGCAGTTCTTTCGGTTTTTAACTGCAATCAGGTTTTTGCTGTGAAAGAGGAAATTGAGTGAGAGGATCAGGAAGGCAACACAGTGATTCAGTGGTTAGCACTGCTGTCTCACAGCACCAGGGACCTGGGTTTAATTCCAGATTTGGATAACCGTCTGTGTGGAGGTTGTACATTCTCCTTATGATCTATGTGGGTTTCCTCCCACAGTCGAAGGATGTGCAGGCTAGGTTGATTAGCCCTGGTAAATGTGGGGTTCTGGTCTGAGTGGGATGCTCTTCAGAGGGTCAGTGCAGACTTGATGGGCTGAATGGCCTCATTCCACATTGATTAGGAAATATCTGTGAGAGACATGATTGGGATGAGCTGTAGCTTGATGGATAGTGCTCTTACCCTGGTATAAAAGACCATAGTTTCAAGTCTCACTGAGTCAACATTGTTTGGATTGATAATGTTGTACTGAGGGAGTGTCTAAGATGTTTCTTTGGGCTCTTGAGGTAATGTGCCTGTCTCTGGGCTAGAAACCTAGGTTGAAGTCCCACCTGCTCCAGAGGCATGTCTTAACATCAACCCTTAACAGGTTTATTAAAGAATATCTGTGACAGGAGCAACCAGTGTGAAGAGGCTTTGTTCCCCTGTTGAAGGGGAAAGGGATTGACAGTCAATGTGTGGGCTAGAACAGGAAATACACCAGCTACCAGAGGAAAACATTAAATCTTCTTCACTGGGGCTGGATCCAAATCTGATGAAGCTTTGGAATTACACAGATAGAAAAACTGATAATTGTCCAGCCATCCAGATAGTTTAGTTGGTGGTTTGACCTCGTTCCAACTAAGCGTGCCTCCTTATCCTTGTTTACACTTGATAATTCTCTGACATGCGTGTATTATTGATTAATAATCTCTTTACATGTGAACGTTCATTTGAATAAAATGCCTAAGAATACGTATTAATGTGTTTTGATTGGCTAGCGTGGACATGAATATATTTGTTAAATATTGAAACAGTCCGCAATTGGAGAATGTATTTTCATGTCTAAGTTTTTAGATACTCTTATCAGTAATTCTGGTAGACAGCTCAGCGAGGGGCGCGTAAACTCTCATAGTACATTAACCATTGAAGAAGCTTAAATTTGATCCCATGAGCGTATTGCAACAAACTCTCGACTGTCCGGAACTATTTCAAATACTAAATTGTACTTTTTGTTTTCATAAAGCATTTTATTGCCGTCTGTTCAACAAAACCCTAACTATGCTCCACTTTTTGAAATAATGTATCACATGCTTGTCTGGAGATATGAACATGATGTAGAATGCATTTAAACACAGGTCTCACCGTGAAAAAAATTTATTCATAAATTGTCGCTCGGAAAAAAGTATCAGCCAAAACTCCAGGAAGCCCGAGTGAAACCCGAACCAAAGACACAAGATGGCAGCAGAGGGCAGGAACAGCTGTAGTATGTTTTGCTGATGTACTCAACATTGCAAATATTGCAGATAAAAGCATTCGATAACCATTTTACCACCTCAATCAAACGATGCAGAATTGCTTAACTCTATATTGTGAATCGTCTGTAAACTGTGTGGAACTACCAGTTTGCATGTGTAGAAATGCTGCACTGCACTCATAAAAGCGCGATAGAACAAGATCTGGGTATTCACCTTAATTCAAAAATTGCTTTCTTATATAAAAAAACACAAACAGCAACTGCTGGAAATACTCTCCTGCAGAATTTGTGAAGAGGGAAACTGTCAAGGTCAGAGAAGACAGCGTGGCAGCAAGTTGGAGAAACAAATTGACAGGCTATCGAAAGTTCGGGGTCACACATGGAGACAGAAACCTGGTCACTCAGTCTGCATTTGGTCTCCTCAATGTAGCAATTAATGGATGAAATAAAACATAGCAGACAATCACCGTTTCATTCAGAAGAATGGGTGGGGCGCAGGTTTAAATCTCCTGATATTGCCTGGAAAGAGAATGTGTCCTGTCTCAGAGAGGGAACAGTCCCTTTGGAATGCAGAAAGGGGAGAGGAAGGCATGGCACTATGGTGACAAGTGGCTGTAATAGCAGAGGTTGAATGTGGTGTCTGGTGAAGTGGAAGGGAAGGCAAATGAGGCTGGGGTGGAGTGAGGGAAGAAGTACAGGAAATAAAACACACTGAACAAGGACTCTGTTGCTCACGGTGGTTGGGAATTCTCGCATCGGGAAAACGGAAGACAGTAGGAAAGACGCTGCCGTGGAAGGTTTCGGCAACAGAGACAGCTTAGAGAATGGAATCGAGTCCTTCCAGAGAGTGAGTTGGGAGTAGTTGCGAGGGGCAGTTAGCTTACCAAGGATATGACCCATCCACAGAAATTGGGGTACAGCAATTGAAAACAAAGGATCGAGTCAGAAATGAACCACATAAAGGAAAGGGAAAGGTAGAAATTGATAGAACAAGGACCAGCATTGATCCAGTTGTCACTAAATGATGAAAGGAAGTGAACAAGGTCATCTGAATGGGACCAGGATCTACACATTCCATTTAGTTATCTATGGAAAGCATGTTCCATGGCGCCTTCCCATGCAACCATAGCAGATGCAGAAACTTCCTGTTACCTCCTGGCTTCTGGCTGTACACTGAACACATCTTCCAGTTGAAACAGCAATGTTTGTGCCTCTTTCAAGTTATTAGCACAATGATGAGATGCCTTCTACAACAAGGAGGCCAGAACTGATTGGGTGATTGCTTCAACCCTGCCTCACTCCCAACTCCGACCTCTCTGTCATCACCTCCCCACCCTGTTCCGATGAAGCTCATTGTAAACTGGAGGAACAATATCTCAACTCGAGTTTAAATACTTTACAGCCTTCAGAACATTGAGTTCCGCACTTTCAGATCATAATTTCTGTGCCAATGTTTTCAGACAGCAGTTATTGCAATGATTCTCCTCTTCCCATTTATACCCATCTTTTGATCGTTTTACTAGACCTTTCAACATATTGCTTTGACTTGCATATTATCATATCTAAATTGTTCTGCCTTGCACTCTATCAGAGACATTCCTTTTATTCTCTTTCCCTTTCTTCCATTTTTCTTCCTCTATTAGTGTTTGAAACCTGTTCCATCTTTTTTAACATTCTGCAGTTCTGACCAAAGGTCGTTGCGAATTCTATACATCGCACCTGCCTGAGTATTTCCAGCATGTATTTTGTGTGTGTGTGTTATTTCAGATTTTCAGCACAGTATTTTGCCACAGTATTTTGCATTTGTAGTCTTTACAAAATCTGAACTTTGCCTGAATGTTCATGATGAAAAACATATGTGACAAAATTGTGTAAAAAAAGAAAGCCAGTCAGCTGAATCTTGATGATGGCAAAGTATTAAAAAATATGCTGAGGAATAATCTAAATCATCATTTAGAAAGGCAACTAATCGAGGACAGTCAACATGGATATGTTAGGAGGGAGATGGTCATGTTTGATTAATTTGATGGGATTTTTTGAGGAGATAACAAGGAGAGTCAACGAGGATGGCATATTTGATGTAGTCTTCATGGTTTTTGTTCAAACATTTGTCAAGGCCCCACATGGTGACATATTCCTTCTTATTCAAATATGTTCGAGCAGTATGCAATTTTGACAAGGCAAACCGATCAACACGGGAAAAATCTATGAGATTCAGAGGAGAACAGCAACCTGGAACTAAGATTAATTGCTGCAGGAAGGGTAAAGGTCAACAACTATTTTTGTTTGGAAACCTGTTTTCAGTGGGATTGTGCAGAGTTCAGTATTACGTCTCATACTTTTCATGATATATTTCAAGGATTTAGACTTAAATATAAGGAGTATGATTTAGAAGTTTACAGATGATATGACCAATGTTTTAATCTACGTTTTAATGCAGAGGGAAAATGTACATACCAAGAAGAGATCAGTTGATTGGTCAGGTGGACAGGAAAGCAGCAAATCATGTGAGGCCATACATTTGGGATCAAGGGAATGCATAATAAAGATCCAGAAAAGTGTGGAGAGAACAGAGGAATCTTGGTATAAGTGAGCACAGATCCCAGTAGGTCGCAGGACATGAAAGTAAGATGGTTAAAACGCTGTGTGGGATACTTTCCTTTATTAAACGCGGGATAGAATTTAAGAGCAAGGTTATGTGAAAACTGTACTGGCCACATGCAGTTCTGGTTACCACATTTCAAGAAGGCCGTGATTCCGGTAGACTAAGTACAAAAGAGATTTACGAAGACATCGGGAGAAATTGGGAATTTTAGCGAAGAGATTGGATAGGCCGGCATTGTTTTCTTTGGGAGCGGAGGCCAAGGGGGATTTTAATTGAGGCGTATAGAATTATGAGGGATCCAGAAAAGGTGGATAGGTAGTGCATATCCCCATCAGAAGAATCAAAACCAGGAAACATTGATTGAAACTAATTATTTTAAGAATTATTGGGGATTTTACCGAAATTTGTTTTATACAGAGGGTGGTGAGAGTCTGGAACTCTTCTGAAACGGTGGTGGAGACATAAATACGCATCACATTTTTAAAAAAAAATTGGCTATTCGCTTGAAATGTCAGCTTTTCGGACTGTGGGCAAAGAGCTGATTAGATTAGGCCATGCAATTTTTACTTCCTACAGCAGGCCCACGATGTGCAGAAAGGCCATCTTCAAGAGTTTTCTGGTTACCACATTTCAAGAAGGCCGTGATTCCGGTAGACTGAGTACAAAAGAGATTTACGAAGACATCGGGAGAAATTGGGAATTTTGGCGAAGAGAAGAGATTGGATGGGCCGGCATTTTCATTTTCTGAAGAAGGGTCTAGGCCCGAAGCGTCAGCCTTCCTGCTTCTCTGATGCTGCTTGGCCTGCTGTGTTCATCCAGCTCTACACCTTGTATATCTTCAAGGGTTGTAACATGTTCATTTACAGCAGGAGGTTTCCCAGCTTCACTTCGATGCTTGAACTATCTGAGGCCAACTGAATTATTCGGCTCGAGTTCTGACCATCTCGACGTCGACTTCATGAACGATATTAAATTCAATTCATCTACAAGTTTTTGTTCCAAGTTTTCAAAAGCATCTGGTGAGTCGTAGCAGCATAGGGCGCGGAATAATGCGTTTGGTTTCAAGATAGAACGAGACACATGGTAAGTGGTGAACGGGGAGGGGGAGGACAAAGGCGGTCATTGTGGTTCCCTGAAGAAACGTGGCTACGGCCTGGCCCACACTGTTCGCCGTGCGCCAGCCTCCTACAGCTTCGCGCCAGTTCCACCGAGCAGCACCAAGCAGGCCACCGTCCCCTCCCCAGCCCCTTCCCGGCACAACCTCGCCTGCTCATTGGCTGCCGCTTAGCAACGTGACGACAGGCTCACGTGAAGCGGCTTTAATGCTGGGCGCTGGAAGCTTGCAGACAATTGGTGAGGAGCGAGGCTGCAGCAGTCGCAGCAACAACAACAACAACAACATCAGCAGCGAGGCGGTGCAGCAGGCAGGGGGTGCAGCAGCTCCTCATTACAGTCCCACAACAGCATGCTTTCCTCATCAGCACCGACGTCTTTCTGAGCTGATAGTTGCCACTTTTGTGTTTTGTTTTTATAGAACAATGACCGGAGTGTTTGACAGCCTTGCTGCAGATATGCATTCGAACCAAATTACCTCGAGTTATCACACCATGCACAAGTCACAGGAGTCTCCAAATTTGCCAGTGTCTACTGCAACTGACAGCAACTACTACAATGGGCAACAGCACGGTCCCTGCGCCGGGCCACCTTATGGACAGCTGAATTCCTACCAGTTCCATGTTGGTAACATGAACAACCTTTCGTACAGTGCCAAATCCTACGAAATTAGTTATACAAATTGTTACAACTCCTACAGCCCCTATGGTTCAAGTAATTCGCCTGCAAATACTGATGTCGGTGAGTTGTGAACATGTGAAGACGACGATCTTCATTTACACAGTGCCGACTTATGCGGGGGTGTGTGTGTGTTCCTAACTTGTAAATGTTTCTGTTGTCGAAAAATCGATGTTTGTTGTTGTTTTCAGAGAAAGAAGAGTGCGAGCCTGAAATCAGGATAGTAAATGGAAAACCAAAGAAAGTTAGAAAACCTAGAACTATTTATTCCAGCTTTCAGCTAGCAGCTTTGCAGAGACGTTTTCAGAAGACGCAGTATTTAGCTTTGCCAGAAAGGGCTGAGCTGGCTGCTTCCATGGGCCTTACCCAAACTCAGGTAAGACTAGACAGCATGAAGGAGACAGCAATAGAGCGTGTTTTTTTTCTAATGGCTGCTACTTTTAAGAAAGCGTTTACATTAAATTTCTGCGTCAAATCTTAATCAGAGTTGGCGTCCCGAGTTTCTCTAAGTTTGTCACTTGTTAAACTACTTTGTTCGGGCTATACTAAATTGTCTAGTCTGTAGCAATGTAAATGTACGTCAAACTTTTTCTGACATTTCATTTCTGAAACTTAGGTAAAAATCTGGTTTCAGAACCGCCGGTCTAAATTTAAGAAAATGTGGAAAAACGGAGAAATGTCAAAAGAGCAGAATCCAAGTGCCGGCGAGACTCCACCTCGCAGCTCTCCTCCATCCTCGATAGCATGGGATTATTCTCCCCACCAGAGAGTCAGCAACAACTCAACAATCGCACAGAACAACGGCCCGGCCGCCGCTTTTATAGGAAACTACTCCTGGTATCCTGGTTCAAATAGTGCTTCACATTTTCAGTCAACTCCAATTCTTCAGCATCAGCCCACTATCAACCCAGGGGCAATATACTGAGGACTGCAGCCCGCTTAGATGACAGACTGTCGAAAGACTTCCTATGACAGGGAATGTTCAAGTGTTTCAAACAAAACAAAAACAAATTACTCAGTACCATCCTTTATAACGTTTGTATTAACTGGTGCCTTTGCAAATGACCTCATTTTCTATGTTTTCAAACGAACTGTGTGGTATTTCTGAACTGCAGACAGTTCAGCGCTGTTACAATGCCTCGTCGTTAATAAAATTCGCTGTGTAGACGATCGAACATAATCTGTAAATATCCTTGCGTGCAGAACGACCTGAATACGAATGTGCATCTATTGGATTATTTGTTGTGATATAGCCATGATATTCTTGTGTTCCTTATGTAGCTGCGCCAATGATGTCTGAGTTACTGTACTGTTGATATGTATCTGTTGGTTCAATCCTACGTTTAAAGTCTTCTGGGCAATGAGTTAAATTGTGCTACTGATTTTTCCATAAGTCATAGATTTGGAAACATAACTATTTTCTTTATTTATTCTATAAAACAACTTCTTTACAGTGTTGCTTTTTATGAAAAGAAATATATTATTTAAATAAATATTGTTTAATTGTTATTTCTATGTCGCTAGTTTAATTACAAACTTTTGAGTAAAGCCATTTTTAAATTAAAAATGTTCTCATTTGGTTTTAGTTGAGTGCTTTATTGAAATGTCCAAGAAAAACAGCCTTTAACGATCAGAGATATGCGAACCAGATTGTATTGGAATACTATCCAAGTGTTTACCAGCTAAGATACTGCTGTTTGGAAAAGACGTACAGCGCTCTAGTTTAGCAGGGTGCAATTAGGTAATGTACAGGCGCCAGAACAGAGGATTGTTACAACTGGATACTTGTTTTGCAGATTAAAAATGTGTATGTGTTTCGCCGGCAAAGGCTTCGCGCAGACATGCATCAATTAGTTTCATGTTGTCAACATTATAACCTGCTCTGCCCTCCGGAGGGCTGGCGCCGGGTCTATTCCTCTCATAAATATTCCCTCTGACGTAACTGTTGGCGACCCCATTGGAAGTAGAATAATGGCCTGTTAAGGAGAGAGTATTTCATTTTTCTAATAGTACTATGTGAATTGTACTCTGAGCAGTTTTAGATATGTGCTACGGGTAGTGTTGATGGTAACAGCCTGCGAGAGTTGTGCTAATACCGTCATTGTTACTGCTCTTATTCCTGGGCTAACACTCAGACAAAACAACACCATTCAGAAATACTGTATGATTGGACGGCGTCTTGTTTTCATATTTTAGTTCCAACTCGCCGGCCGCTGGAAGCAACTTTTCAACTCAGCCCAGACTGAATAATTTATGTATATGATCATTACTTGAAAGATTCTTGAAGAAGACTTGACATTGTCACTGAAATTAAATGAATGACAAAGTCGTTTAAAAAGTTTTCGCCCTCTGGACTTTTGTTAACAAGACAACTTCTCTGTTCTCGGGACTTGCATGCAGCGAGTGATTAACAGGCCCGGTTCTTTTGCCTCGGGCGAAAAGTTTAAACTAGTTGTTAAAAGCACGCAAAGCGCCTTGGCATATGAGCTTAGAGAGGCAAGTTTGGCTCAGGAGCGAGTAGACAAACTGGAGACAGAAGTCCTCTCTATAGATTTTTTTTATTAACCACGAGAGGCACAAACCGGCTGCAATCACCCCAAGCAAACCACTTTTAAGTGCGGTAACAGTGAAAGCACAGAAACAGACGTCTCTGATCCATTTGGAGCGTTGTCTTTTTGAGAGGTTTTGCTGTTGGGAAATAAACGATTCTCGGATGTTAAAGTCGATCAGAACACACACACACACAAAGAATAGTCGTATATATTCAAACAAGATCGCAATGTACGTTCTTGTTGCAAGCGATCACAAACCCCACTGATTCAATCTGATTGGCGGCACACTGCCTGAAATAGGGGCTGTCATTTTCATGGGGCTTGAAATCATCATGTACAACACTGAAACAATGTACATGACACGAACTGGAAATAAATTGAATCACAATGTAAATCTATGCAACGAACCCCTAGATTAAAATTATCGACTGTGTAACAAAGTTGTATAGTTTGCGAAACACCAGGATATTTAGCATCATGGTATCAAGGGTAACCCGTCATAATTTGCGCAGAGACGACTCCGAGATGTTCGATGATGAAACATTGAAATTGCCGGCGTCTATCATGTTTCATTGTGGAATATCCAAACGTTTGTGTGCAAGGGGACTAATGCATT